AAGTTACATACAAATTAAAATAAATATTTTTATTTAATTAAAAAAAAACATTGATATATAATAATATATAAAACAATAAATAATTTAACTAATTTTTATAATTAATATCAGAAAACTTATAAAAAATAATCAATATAATATATTTAGTTTTCAAATGAAGATAAGTTTTTAATATTAAATAATAAAAAACTTTTTGTATTAGTTTTTCTAAAAATTTAAATACAATAATATATTTTAAATAAAATAATATATTTTATTATATATTATTGAAAAAAAAAATTATAAACTGTTTATTTTACATTAATAATATAAAAGGTTAATATTAAAATTAAAAAAAATAAAATATTGAATTTTAAAAAAGACTTTTATTTTAATTTTTTATAAAGAAAAATAAAAATAATTATATTATTTATTTAATATAAAACTATATAATTATGTTTTTATTTATTAGTATAATTTAATATAATTTAAAACAAGAAATAATAATATTAAAATATGCATAGAACTTTTGCATTTCCTTAACAATTTAATTAAAATTATTTACATCCATAAAAAATAAACGAAGGAAGATAATTTGAAAATCCATTTAGTAAAAAACAAAAAATAAAATATTAATTAATTATTATTTTTAGAAAAGTAAAGTCCTATGGATAATAATTGTGCATTAAAAGCTGGTATAGTAACAATAGGAGGATGGGGTATGGGACTTTTAATGGCAATGTTTATGAATGCGGTAGAAATGAGGGATATTGAATTTATTGGATAAGGCAAAATATCTACAAAAATGTCATTAGCAGTAAAAAATATTTATTTTATATTAAATATATATAATTAACAAAATAATAAAAATAAATACAAAAACTATTATTAAAGAAAGATACCAGAAAAATATTTGGAACTGCTAAGAGTTTTGCAGTTTTTGGTTTTTTTTTTCGGTTTTTGAATGTTAAGTTGAAAAAGTATTTTTTTTTTTTTTTTTTTAAATAAAAAAATTAAGCTTTTTTATTATTTTTAAAAAAGTTGAGAATAAGAGATGATTCTATAAATGGATTTTATGCAGGTGCTTTTACATCTATGATCATTTCTTTAAATTGTATATTTAGTTTATTATTATTTTTGTAAATTATTATTTTAATTTATAGTAATGAGAGGTAGAGGGTTAATTTGGGCTGGATTTAGTGGAGGCTTAATGGGAATGGTTTTTTATTAGTTTTAGTTTATTTTTGGACATTGAGTTTTTTTGTTTATATTTGTTTTATTTGTTTTATAGTTTTTTGTTTTGTTTTAAATTATATTTTTTTTGGAAAAAAAAGATACTTTTTTATTATTAATATTTTAATGTAAATATAATAAATAATTTCCTCAAATTTTTTATTTTATTTTAGGTAAATAAGAAATACTTATATAATTTTTTTTTTTAAAAAAAAAATAAATATGGAAACTCCTTAATCAATTAAAAACGAATAAAAGTTAAAATGCAGTCTTTTATCATCTCATTTATTAAAAAATGTAAGAAAAATAAGAAGCAATAGTGATATTCTTTAAAGAAAAATTACAATTTAAAATTTTATTAAATAAAAATCAGAAATAAGCCAAAATTAAAATAATTTAGATAGATTAAATCCTTTAATAATAAAAAGCAATTGCACTTTAACGGAAATATCTACTATAAATAAGTCTCTATATGATAGAAAAAAATATAAAAAAGGTCTAATTCTTTCCAATTAATTATGGAGCAATAAATATTACTAATTTATTATAAGCAAATCTAAATTAAAATATGATTAATATTATTTAGAATTATAAAAATAATTATAATAAAAATAAACACTTTAAAATTTACATAAAAAATGTGAGAAATACTTCTAATAACATTTTTAAATAAACGACGAAAATAATTAAGAAACAACAAATGAAAATTTTTCATATATAAAAAATAATATCAAAATTCGCTAAAAAAAATAATAAAATACATAAACATTGGCATAAATTTTAGAATAAGATACAAATAATAATATTAAATCTTAAAATAACGTAATTTTAGAAGGTAATATGTAGAATTTATGTGATGAGGAAATATAAAAATTATGTAAATAATAAAATTAAAACAGATAAATAATATAAGAAAATAAGTTTTCTTAAATCTAATTTATAAAGATAATATAAAAGATATAGATAAGGTTAAATTCTATTAAGTTGATAATAATCTTATTTAAAAATAAGAAATGAGAAAATAACTTATAAAAGCTTCTAATATTTTAAGGCATAATAGATATAGTTTTTAACCTGTAAATAATAATTTTTAGAAATTAAAATAAACTAAAATTACTATTCTTGTTATAATTGTATTTATTTATTTATTTATATATTTATTTTTTGATTATTTTAGTTAGACTTGGATTATAATTAAATTATTATATTGATAAAGTCAATTAGAAAGGAGAAGTTAATCAAAGTTTTAATTTCTAACTTTAAAATGCAGTGATGAATAAACTATTTAATTATTGTTAAAATTTTTCATTAGAAAATAAGCATTTATTATAGAATATGTAATGTTAATGGAAAGGGTTATAAGCTATAAAAAAATAATAATTATAGGAAGAAAAAAAATAAAAAGAAATACTAAAAAATATAATTGATAAAAATGAAAAAATCAAAAAAGCTAAAATTATTGATCCTAGAATTTTATTTGCAAAAAAAGAAATTAATATAAAATTTAATGCGTTGGGACATGATTATTTTACCTTTTATTATAAAAAGAATAAAATATGAATAAATATTTTTTAATAATAAATAATAATAAGATTTTTTTAAATTAATTTTATTATTTATTTTGTTCTGTAAAAAATCATTAAGTAATTTACACTTGTTTATTTTTTTTAAAAAAAATTGGATTAAAAATATATTTAAAATATTATTTATAATAATATAGGAACTATAAAAAAGATTTAAAATATATAAAAACTTAAATATATTTATTATTTAAAAATAATTGCTGAAAATGGCAACGATTAATAATTAAATTTTTATTTAGTAGCCAATTAAAAAAGCATAAAGTTATATAAAACTCTTAGAGCCATATAATTAATAAAATTAAAATAAAGAATATTTAAAAATTAAAATATTAAACAAAATTATATAAAAAAAACATAAATAAAAAACAAAAAAAATAAATTTAAAATAATATATATAATTTATATAGAAAAAAATATAAATATTTAAATAGATTTAAATAATTAAAAATATATATGTGTAAATAATAAAGAAAAAAATATATATAAAAAAAAATAAAAAATAATATATATATATATAATATATCTATATATATTTTATTTTTATATATTTAAATTAATTAATATATATATTCAGTATATATTATTTTTTTATATATTATAATATAAATATAAAAAAGAAAATAATAATTAATTAATTATCTATGTAATTATTATTATATATTTTATAAATTGTAATAAATTCATAAAAAACTAATATCTTTTCTATTATTCCATTATGTTTTATTAGGTATAAAATATTATTTATTATTTACAATAATTTTCTTGAAATAATTTTAAATATATGTTTCCTATATTTAAATTATATTACATAATTATTAAATTCTAATATTTTAAAAGTATTAATTATTAGTTAAAATACAATAACTATAAACCATAGCCCCTGCCATTTAATCAATATTCAAAAAGCAATTAAATATTGAAAATTTACAATATTAATTTTATAAAGTTTATATATTAATTTATTTTTGTTCTTAATCTTCGTTGTTTTATGTATCTTGATATACTTATTACATCTTTTCTATATAAACTTTATTTGTTTTTTAATTTAGAATATTATGCTCGAAATATTAAAACATTTTAATATCTTCTTAAGTTAAATAATCTTCAATATTAATATCATTTTATTTTAATTAAAATTCCAGTATTTTTTTTAAAAAATCAACACATTTTTCAGCTATATTAAATTTTTGTAAAATATCATTATTTTAAATATAAATGTTTTCCAATTTTTTGTTATTATTAATTTCTTATAAAAAAAAATTATCTTTTTAAATAATTTCTTAAAATTTTATGATATTTTCTGCATTAACACCTGTATGTTCAGCAATATCATCTATACAAATATCATAACTGATGCTTTAAATAATAAAATAATAAATATATAAATATATAAATATATATATATATATATATATATATATATAAATATATATTTTTTTTATATAATTACTTTTTTTAAATATAATTAGTGAATATAGCAGCAGCTATTTTTTTAAATTTTTTAGTAATAATAATATTATTGCTCTTAATATAATTAACAAATTATTAAATTATTTTATTTGATATATTTTTATTTTATAGTTCGATACACCAATCATTTATTTGTTCTTTTGTTTAATTTAAAATATAAGAAAATTATTATTATGGTGGCATTTCATGTTATTCATATGTTAACATTTTATTATATCTTTAATTTTTATTTATATATATAAATATTTTATATATATAGATATTTTATAAATTTTTTTACTTTGAATATATATGATTTTAATCCCCTTTATTGCCTTAAAATTATAAAGGAATTTCTTTCGAACTATTTTCATAACAATAGCGCCTCTAGTTATTATTACATATGTTTTCTAAGTTTTAATTAGTTTCATCTTGGTAAGATAGATATGGTTTTAATGTTATATATCCACAATTAGTGTTTCTACATGTATAAAGACCTGATTTATAATCATAAATTATAGAAAAGCTTTAACATATTTAACATTTAGATGATTAATCCATTTTAATTGTTCTTTTTTTTTTTTTTGGGTTTCTAATAATTTTATTTAATATTTTTTTTTTAGTAAAATTTTAGCTTATTTTTATATATTTTTTTTTTAAAAAAAATAATCTATATAAAAAAAAAAAACACTATATATATATATATTATTATTATTATTATTAAAAACAAATATAATTATATGTATTTTATTTTATTTTTTTTAAAAAAAATCATAAAATTCCTTTTTAAAAATAGTTTTCAATTTTTTTATCAATCCATTTATAAAATAATGGATTGTTTTCAATATTTTTTTCATATTAACTTCCTTTAAATTTTTTATTTTATTCTAACATTTTCTCATATAAAAAATAAGCGAATTTTCTCATAACTAAATTAATAATATAATCTGGTATTAATTATAAGTGTAAGTCTATATTACATACAGCCTTTATTTCTATACAATCAATTTTAATTTATTTAATTTAAAATGTAAAAAAAGGCATATCTATTCTTACATATTTACTCTTTTTTTCTATATTAATTCCATATTGTTGTTAAAAAGCTTCATCTTTATCTATACTTCTGGCCATAATGACAATACTTTTATTATGTTCAAGTCTATCTATACCTAATCCATATATATATAATTCTCTATCAGAAATAAAAGGAGGATCAGTCTTTAAATATACTACTTTAGATGCCTTGTCAATTGTTTTTAAATTAATTCCGTAATTACAAAATGGTAACCACTTTTTATATAAATCTATTTCATATATTATTGCTAATAACACTTTTAGGTTAATTTTTAAGTTTTTTCCTTCCATTTTTATAGCTATTAGTTTAGAGTTTTCTATATTCTTAAAATGAATGGCAATTCCTTATTTATTTTTTTCGGTTACCCAACCTACCTTTTTTTTTTTTTTTTTTTTTTTTTTTTTAGTGTTTTTACTTTCTTCATTTAAATAATTTTCACATATTTATAATTAGTTATATATTTTTTCATATAGAAGCATCCTTTATTAATATTTATGACGAAATGTTAATATAAAAGAAGCGTTTTCTATATGCTATTCTAGTGTTTGAATTATACTTGAGATTTCTTTTCGTTTTATTTCGACTTAATCTAGTAATTTTTCCTCGAATAATTCGATCATTTCTTGTGCTAATATTTCTAGTTGTTATTATTATTATTCGTGGTTTTATTGGAATATAAAATTATTTTAATTAGAAGTAGTATTAGGTTATTTTTATTATAAAAAATGATTATTTTTATCTAAATGTTCTTATTTCTCGTTTATTTATTATTCTTTTTATTTCATTTAGTTTTTATCTAAATTTTCTATTGCAATAACTATTTATTGCTCTTTTATTTGTTCTTCTTATTAAAAATATTAATTTTAATTGGAAAAAGAAGACTTTATTTATATAAATTTAGGCTTATTAATATAGACTTTTTCATTTATAAAATCTGCTTAAAAATCATCCATTTTTAATTTTTTTTTTTTTTTTTTTTTTTTTTTTTTTGGGGAAAACCTTAATTTATTTAAAAAAAAAAATTATAAAATTAATATATTTTTCTCAATTAAAAAAAAAAAAAAAAATATATATATACAGAAAAAAAAAAAATGAAAAATAATGATATAGCCATATAATTAATGAATAATTTAATAAATATATATGGAAGTTCAAATTTTACGACTACAGAATTCATAATATTCAATATAAAGAAGATTTTTAAGCAAATACCACCCACAAATGCATTAATAGCTATCCATATAATAGTATAATTATTAAAAAAATACAGAAAAATCAGTGAAAAAGACTTTACAATAAATAATAGAAATTTCAAATACTAAAATCTTATATTTCATGCTTTTTCTCATAAAAACTTTATACATTTAATATATAATGCGTTAATATTTTATTAAATATCATATAAAATTCCTTAAAGAAATGTTTTTCCTTTATATATTTTAGGGTCTGTAATATCTGGATATGCCCTATACAATAATTTAAGAAAAAATTTAAACTTCCATACATATTATTAAGGTTCGAATGGGGGATTTTGTGCTATTCTAGGGTATCTTATTATGATGTAAAGGAATAACTTTGTATATAAATGGATATAGGCGGTTTTAATTCTAATTGAAAGCGTTTTGATTCACAATAATTAATAATCATATAGAAACGGATTGGTTGAAATAATCGGATTTTTAACAGGTATTTTATATTATTATTTTAGTTAAAGATAAAGAAGATATATTTAATTTAAAATTTTTATATGATTTTAAAAAGAAATATAAAAAATATCTATATATTGATATATAAATATATATATATATATATAAATATTTATATTTATTTTTATATATATAAACATATTATATATTTATATATCCATACATTTATATATACAAATAAATATTTCTTTCTTTTTACATTAATTATTTATATTTTTTTTATTACTTTTTAAATGTAATTTTCTATATTTATATTTATTCATATTATTCCTATTAAATTTCCTAAAAATATCAAAAAACAAGACAAAAATGTCCAAAAATAAAAATCTTAGTTAACTTCTATTATAAAACATACTAAAATTTAACCTAAAACTATTATTTTAACTCCAAAATTTAAAAGACGGCTTTTTTCTGCAAATAAAGTTCCTAAAATTTATAAAATAGCTAATATTCCTAAATATATTATATCTTTAAATTCCCATAATTTTTCTTTTTCGTGATCAATAGTTAATTTTAAAATACTAACAAAAAATTACACCAAACTGCTGTATAAAAGTAAACAAAATACCTCTATTTATACTTCTTAATAGGAAATAAATGTCTATAATAATTAAGAAATGAGACTTCCTAAGAAAAAACACACAAAAAAGTTATAAAATGAAATTCCTGAAAATAAAAACAACAAAAGTAAGCCGATAAATATAAAAAAAGTGCTCGTAAATTCCTTCATATTAGATATTTTTTGTCTATAAAAGATCAAAAATATTGAACCAGAGTTTAAAAGAGTCAAAGCCTCATATATTTAAAGATTTTTAAGCCCGAAAAAGAATGAGAAAACTACAAAAGTATTAATAAAGGAATAAAAAAAAACTGAAAATATATTTTTAGAATTTTAAAGGCGGATTATATCAACTTTTTTTGAAAATATAAAATAAATAATCAAGAAAAAAAAAACAAAAAAACTCCTAAAAAACATCAATTAAAATTCATTTTTTTCACGCAGTTTTTTAATTATAAAACATGCTAAACTAAAGCTTAAAATAGACAAAATGATATAATATATTTATGTTTTTTCTATTGTTTTTTTTTCTACATGTATATTTAAAGTATTTATATATTTTATTTCTAAATTTAAGAGATTTGATTATAATTATGTACTTTTATCATGTATATTGCTTATATCTTCATTATTAGTTATTGTTTCTCTATTTAAATGAAATGAATATGATGATTCATTTCTTGAAATTTTACTATTACTAGTACATTAAGGATTATTTTTTTTCATTAATTGATTTTTTGAAAAATATAATAATAATAATAATAATAATAATAATAATAATAATAATAAAATAAAAAAATTAATTATTTAATTTTTAAAAAATAATTAAATATATTATTTCAATCATATTATCTATTAATCTCATTTAAATAAGTTTTTTTTATTCATCTTCCAATTATTAATAATTAAAACAATTAAGCAAACTATTTGCACTTTAAAAATAACTAATAAAACATTATTTACTCTTTCTATTATATAATTATATATATATATGAATATATATTTATTTATATATATATTTACATAAATTAATTTATATATACATATATACTAATATTTACACATATATACACATAAATACTCATTTATATCAATATATACACATATGTATTAATTATAAATATTTTTATTTTTTTATTTTTTACTCTTAAACAATAGCTATATAATATTATTAAGAATCAATTTTATAATATGTAACGCCATCTAATTTCGCTTATTTATTTAATACTATAAAATATTCATTATAAAATTCTGAATTTTTTTATTTTTTTATTATTAATTTTATTAATTTTTTTCCTTTAATCCATAAATTTAAATATTTCTATTTTTTTTAGTATAATAGTCTTTTTCTTAATTACAAACTGAAATCCATTAAGATCCGGAAATAGATATTTAATTTTCTATATTTTTAAGTTAGTTTTTATCTATATTTAAATATATTTCAGCTAAATTTTCAATTTATTAAATTAAATTTGATTGATTTTGTTTATCTATCAAAATAGAAGTTTTATTTTTTTTAGATTGTTAAAAAATTTAGAAGCCTTATTGAATGCTTTGAATTTTTTATTATTAAAATAATTCTGTCAAATTTAAATCTATTATTTTTGGGAAATGTTTATTTAGAATTTTTTTATATTCGAAATAATTTTTAGGAAGATAATTTATATAATTTTATACAAATAAAGTAAAATTATAAAAAGGGTCAAAAGTGACTAAAGGAACATTATCTTATTAACAAAAAAGGCTTAATTTTTAAACTAAAAAAGAAAAGCCTTTTTCTTTATTTATAATAATTTCTTTTTTTAAATTTTCTTATTTAATAAATTCTTGTTTTTCTTCAAAACTACATTTTTAAACTAATTTTTTTTTTATTATATATAAGCTTTATTATCTAAAAAAAAATACCTTAAATATTTCCTTAATCAAAATTAATAAAAATTTAATCTTTAAATTCTTAATTTAGAAATAAAAGTATGATTTTTTTCTAAAAATAAAAAATTTTCTCAAAATTAAACTTCTTTTAATTCTAGTCTTTTATAAAATCCTTAAATAAATCCATTTTAATTAATAAACTTTACTTTGTTTCATTATTGCAGCTATTTAGTAATACTTAATATTATTATTATTCATTTAAATCATATTCTTCAAATAATTTTTATCTAAATTTTTATAATTGATCTTCATTTTTATAATTTATTCCTATTATATTATATATTATAAAAAAATATAATATATATGAATAGAACATTATATAAATAAATATATATATATATATAAATATATATATATATATAAATATATTTATATTTTTATAATTATATTATAATATATATATAAATATACATTTTTATATTTAAATTATTATATTATTTACCTTTACAGAACCATTTATTCCAATCTATATCTGTTTCATAAACAACTGAGTTTATTGAGATTTTAGCTGTTTCATCAGAAGGAAATGTATAAAATAAATATGAATTTAATTTTATTTGATTTTCGTTAGTTTCTTCCAATAAACTTATAGCAATAGTTGATATATTATATTTACTATATCTACAAAACTAATTAATATTATTATAAAATTTTTTATATTATTTTATATATTAGTATATTTATTGTTTACCTTAAAATATATTTCAAAAGGAAATTCATAAAATTTTTATTTTTAAAAATTGTCTTATTTATCATAATTATCTCGAGTGTTACTTATAAGTAAAAATATACTTTTTATCTAAAATTACATTTGCAATAAAAATAAAAAAAACAATTACTTATTTAGTTTTAAATATTTCTTATATTTCTTCCATGATTTGATCAAAATTTTCTATAGTTACTTCCATTTTAGATTTTTTTTATTAATATTAATATATATTGAATAATATATATATATATATATATATAAATATATTTATATATATTTATATATATATTTTATTTAATTTATATATATATATATAAATTACATTAAATTAACTATATTTTAAAATATACTAATTTAATTAAAATATATTTTTCTTTTATATTTTCTTATATTTAAATATTATTTACTATATTATATTAACATATATTCTTTTAATATATTATAAAAAATTTCCTATTTATAATTTATTATATATTCATAATTATTTATTTTTATAGTTTTAAATATGTTTTTAAAAATATTAAATTAATTATTTTTAAATTATAATTATATGTAATATAAAATACTTTTAAATATATATATATATATATATATATATATTATATATATATTAATTTTTAAAATTATAATATTTTAATTATAAAATATAAAAAAATGAACTTTTATAATTAAATTAATAAAAAATAATATTTTATTTATTAAAAAAAAAAAAAAACTTTATAAAAAAATAACATTTTTTTTATAAAAAAAAAAAATATAATAAAAATTTGTTTTAATAAAAAAAAAATGTCTTTAAAAAGAATTTCTGAAAATCTTTCTCTTTAATAAATTCCTTAATCAAAATCTCTAATCGAAATTCAATCTGATTTCCACCAAATTAAATATGAGTACGAAAATTTAAACAGCTATATAAAAGATATGTAAAATCATATAAAAACATCCAAAAAAACAAACGAAGAATTACTTAGAGACAAAATTTAGGTTGATTTATTAAGATTATAAAAAGATGAAAGATAAATCTTTAATTTATATACAAAATTAAGCCAATAAGATAGTGAATTGAATGAATCTCCTTTAATTAAGAAGGATTTAGCCTATATTAACTGTTTATAAATTTTCAAAGATAAGCTTTTGGGTTAAAATATATCTATTTCTGAAAAAATAACGGAAGCTTTTGCCTTTATCTAGGTTTAGAAAAATATACTGGAGGATAAAAAAGGTTAGATTTTATAAAAAAATAAATAAATAATGCAAAAATATTCACAAAGGTTAATTTTGATTCAAATAAAAAAACTAGTAGAGAAAAAAAAGTAATATAAAAATGTCGAAGAGCCTACTGATTAGTAATTTATTACATAAATTCCATATTAAATATATGATAAAGGAAATATATATGAGAAAATAAGATAAATTAAATAATAAAATTTCGAGAAAAAATAAAGTTTAATTAAAAAAATGAATAATTTGATTAATATGAAGATTATTTTAAAATAATGTATGGATATAATGAAAAATAAAATAAAAAAAAATAAGTCTTATAAAATTTTTGAGGAAAAAAAAAGGAAAACTTTTTGTTTCCAAAAATTTAAATTTAAGAAAGGGAATTAAGACTTATAGTATATGAAAATATAAAGGAAATTATGAAAAGAGAAATAAAAAAAGAGAAAAAAAAAGTAGAAGATTAAATAAAGAGTGAATAAAAAGTTAGTTTAGAACAGTTTTTAGGCTTTAAATTTGATGAAATTATCTTTTTTTAATTTTTTATGAAAAAGAAAAGGCTTTTTATGACTCTTTTAAAAAGAAAGAAAAATAAATTAATAAAATTTTAATAAAAATGAAAAGTTTTTTTGATTAATATTTAAAAAAAAATATTTAATATAATTTAATATATATAATTTATAAAATTAATTATTTTTAATAAAAATAATAAAATATATATTTTAATATTATTTAAAAAAATTCTAATATATATTTTATAAAAATAATTAATAAAAAATATATTTATAATTAGATATATATA